CCTGGTGCTCTTTCACCACCTCGCTGAGGCAAGGGTACCGCTCCGAGATCCAGCGGTAGAACTTGGGGACCCCCATGTCCACCGTCAGCCCCAATTCCAGTCAGGACTAAACCGAAACTGAACGCCCGGGCCGTCGCCCCGCCGATGACAACACGCCGCCCGGCGGACCATAGAGAGCGGGCGTCCCGCGCGCCTAGAGCGGCGGCGCTGGAGGCGTGTCCGGGGCGGGGCGTACGATCGCCCCGCCCCCTCAGAGCCCCGCCCCCGCCCCGCCGGGCCTATGGGAGCCTGCCCTCGGCTTGGAAGTGAAGGCGGCCGGGACACCGACGCCTGGGGTTGCTAACCCGTTTGCCGAGGCCGATTTGCGAAAAGCTCTGGTGCTGTTCTGAGCGCAGAATGACGTGAACGTACGCTGTTTTTTTTCCCCCCCAAACAGTGTTCTTTTCCTGTGTGTCTCTGATCATATAGAATAATAATGATCGGAATGACACTTCAGGAAATGTTTTTTCCCCTGTTGCTTGTTCTTGGAGGGGCCAGGGGTCACTTGGAGGGGCAGAGGATACACACAGGCAGCAGGGGCACGCACTACACACTATGTTGAAAAATGAGCTAGGAAACCTGTGGGCCAAGGCGCGAGGGAAGGGGTGACACTGTCCATAAAGAAATGTACTCTTGAGCTGGGGATGTGGCTCAGGTGGTGGAGCGCTAGCCTTGAGCAAAAGAGCTCAGGGAAGCGCCCAGGCCTGAGTTCAAGCTTTATATATATATATAAATGAAGTCAGGCTGGCTTCCTTTTCACTTTCTTTTTTTTTAAATCTCAAGAACACACCATAAGCTGGGCGCTGGTGGCTCACGCCTGTAATCCTAGCTACTCAGGAGGCTGAGATCTGAGGATCGCGGTTCAAAGCCAGCCCGGGCAGGAGAGACCGTGAGACTCCTATCTCCAATAAACCAGAAAACCAGAAGTGGCGCTGTAGCTCAAGTGGTAGAGCGCTCGCCTTGAGCTGAAGAGCTGAGGGACAGCGCCCAGGCTGAGTTCAAGCCCCACGAAAAAAAAAAAGAACACACCATGTTCCATTTCTTTAGATAGAACACACGGTTGAACCTGGAGTCTGTGGCTCACACCTGTAATTCTGGCAACTCAGGAAGCTGAGCCCTGCAGAATCATGGTTCAAAGCCAGCTTTGAGACTCCCATTTGCAATTAACCAGTAGAAAGCTAGACTGGAGGTGTGGATCAAGTGGTAGAATGCCAGCCAGGTACAAGCTAAGCAAGCTCAAGGCCTGGAGTTCAAACCCTAGCACCAAGAAGAAAAATACACAGTACATGCTAAGAAAAAAGTTTTAATGACTGAACATACACCACCATTATAAATATAGTTAACAGACAAATAAAACCAATTCTTCTGAGAACATAAAACCTATGTTGTGCTTTAGAACTGAATAGATATAACTTATTGGTGCATTTAATTTTAGATTATTAAAATATTCGTTGAAAGAATTTCATTTCACATATATGGGGTCCAACCAAGATACATTTGGCAGAGTAAGTTTTTATCAGTAGCTTCCTGGATGAGGTAATGCACGTGTCCTTCGATAGACAGAGGCAGGCCTGTCACTCTGTTTCGGTTCTTGATGATACCTTGTAGTCGCTGCTCAATGTCAAGAACATGGGTCTTGGCCTGAAAATTAATACAGTATTTTAGGGCTATGGAGCCAATAAAATGCGGTATTCATAATTTAGAATCTTTTCTTGATATTTGTGTTAACGTCATTTTTCTGACCAGTACCCTTTTACAGGAACAAAAATAAAGAAAATGAAACGAATCTAGTACCTTGATATAGTCCCTCAGGTATTGTGAGACTGCCAGCCTCAATCTTTTCACTCAGGTTTGCTTTGTCATTTGAGGTCTTTTGTGCTTCTATATGAATTCTAAGACTGGTCTATTTCTGGGAAGAACGCATTTGGAACTTGGATGTGCATTATTCTGAATCGGGAGGTCACTTTTGGTAATATAGCCATTTTTGCAAGGTTAATTCTGCCTAGCTATGAACACGGAGGCCTTCCTATTTTGTAGTGTCTTCTGTATCTTTCTTCAGTGTTTGCTAGTTTACATTTTCTGATGGAAAATGACCTAAACTGAAAGCACTCACCTTCCCCTGTGATAGCATGTTAGAACGATTCCTGCTGCCTACCCTGCTGACTCCCCTTGCCCCTGAACAAACACACCCAGAGGTTTTGGCAAGAGCCTGACACAAAGGCCACATATGGCACTGAAGGCCCAGCACCGTTGGGACCTTGAAATTCCTCAAAGAAAACAACATTGCTCTCCCATCTGACCGCCTCACCCCTCCCACTTCCATCCACCCTGCCTGACTTCACTTTTTCAGCCTAATAAAAAGAAACCTTAGATGTAAGGGAAGCGTGCCATGTTTTCTTCAGCCAGGTTGAAGTAGACTTGGTCCTTCTCAGGTTTTGGCTTATTGGCTCTTTATTCATACTCCCAGTACTTGAAAGAGTTCCTTAACTTTCACCTCTCTGGATTTATTTCTAGGTATTTTATTTTTTGAGGCTATTTTGAATGGGATAGTTTTCTTGATTTTTTTTTTTTTTTTGATCCAGTCGTGGGGCCTGAACTCTGGGCCTGGGCACTGTCCTTCGGCTCTTCAGCACAAGGCGAACGCTCTACCACTTGAGCCACAGCACCAGTTCCAGCTTTTTTATTTTCTGCTTATGTGGTGCTGAGGAATCAAACCCAGGGCCTCATGCATGCAAGGCAAGCACTCTACCACTGAGCCACCTTCCCAGCCCCAGTTTTCTTGATTTTTTATATACGCTTTTATTTAGGTGGGAGGCCCACCGGTGACTGCATCACTGAGGCAGAAGGGTAACCTGGGATTCACAGTGAGTTTCAGGTCAGCCTGGACTTAATAGTGAGACCTTCTGCCCAATCACACGCACATACACAAAACCCACAGTAATTCTGTATGTTGATAATGTATTCTGCTACTTTCCTGAAAGTGTTTATTGGATCTAGGAGTGTTCTAGTGGAATCTAGGCTCTTGTAAGTGTGGAATCTAATCATTTTCATATAGGGCTAATTTTGACTTCTCCCTTCCTATTTGTATCCCCACCTCCCTTTTTGTTCCTCTTGCCTTTTAAGAATTCATGTACTTCACAAGAACAAATAGAACTGAACCCTGATACTAATGTTGTAGGCTGTGAATTCCTCCTCCTCAGCTTTCATCTTATTCATTTGGGTCTTTTCTTTCTTTTGGCTTAGCTAAGAAATTTTCTATCTCTTTTTTTTTTTTGGTCGGTCGTGGGGCCTGAACTCTGGGCCTGGGCGCTGTCCCTCAGCTCTTCAGCTCAAGGCGAGCGCTCTACCGCTTGAGCCACAGCGCCACTTCTTCAACCGAGTTGAAGAACCAACTCTGTTTCATTTTTCTGTTGTAGTATGCTCTTGGTTTCCATCTTAGTAATTTTTGTGTTTTCATTTTATTGTAGAAACTTTTTTTTTTTGTCAGTCCTGGGGCTTGAACTCAGGGGCTAACCAGGGCATTCTAACACTTGAGCCACAGCACCACTCTGGCTTTTTCTGTTTATGTGATACTGAGGAATAGAACTCAGGGCTTCATGTATGCTAGGTAAGCAATCTACCACTAAGCCACCTTCCCAGCCCTATTATAGAAACTTCTGAATCCCCCCCTGACCCAATGATAATTTGAAAGTATACTGTTCAATCTCCACACATTTGTACAGTTCTGTTGCTACTAATTTCTAACATTATTTCATGATGATCTGATAAGATACAAGATTTTTTTTTTGGGGGGGGTATATGTTAAGGATTTGCTTCATAGCCCAAACTGTTATTTATTCTGGAAAAAGTTCATAGGCTGCTGAGAAGAGTTATATATGGGCATGGGCTGGGAGGGTGGCTCAGTGGTCAAGTGCTTGCCAGCATGCATGAAGTCCTGGGTTCGATTCCTCAGTACTACATAAACAGAAAAAAACAGAAGTGGTGCTGAGGTTCAAATGGTAGAGTGAAAGAGCAAAAGGAACTCAGGGACAGTGCCCAGACCCTGAGTTCAAGCCTCAGGACTGGCAAAAATAAAAAAAAAAAGATTTATATATGCCACAGACATTGGATAGATCATCATGTCTCCAAGTATCATTTGTACTAATTATTTGCCTGCAGGAGGGGAACCCTGAGAATCTGGCGTCCTGTCTGCCAGTCTCAGAGCTTTCTGACCCTGTCCTTCAGTAAGTTACATTTCAGGAGGGAGCAGAATGGGAAAACTGAGACATCAGCCAGATGGTGCTTGCTGCTCTCAGTCCAGCCCAGCAGCAAAGCATGTGTCTAGCGGAGGCAGCTCCAAAGGTCTTGCAATCGCTGGCTAGAGGCCCAGAGCTCTCAATGTCTGCATCGCAGGCAGCGGGGTTCATGCCTCACCAGCAGACAGAGCCACCAGCCACTGTCCCCTTCACAGCTGAACTCTGACCTCAAGGTGGAGCATTCTAGGCACATGGAACAAGGTCATCCATGTCCTCCTCAATCGTGTTCTTCTTCATCCTTGCCTGACATGCACACTCCATCCCTCACTTGGATTTAAACTTGCAGGAACCGCCCACCAGCTGACCCTGCGGCGAGGGTGGCCGGCCACCTGCGCTCACCCTGGAAGGCTCAGCTAATTTTGATAAGGAATTAATACATTAATCAAGACAGATGGTGACCCACTTGTTTCACTACATTAAGGTTCAGACGTGGAGTTCTCTAAGGGCAGACAATCTGTGCTCAAGTTTTCTCCACGATTATCTCATAAGTACACCTTCTGTCTAAGGCTAAAGAAGTGTGTCTTAAACTGTTTTACTTGATGAGTGCTAATAATGCTAACATTTGTAATGACAAGAAGCTGTAGAATTCACAACAATCAATAGTCAAGGGCAGAATTTAAAATCAATTGTCATTTTAGAAAATGCAGTACCGGATTAGAGCAAACGCGCCTTTCACTAACCTTTTCATTCACTAACCTTTTCATTCACTAACCTTTCCATTTACTAACCTTTTCATTGACCACTTCCCCGGTCTCATTCAAGGATCCTTTCGAAAGTCCCTTTGGTGGTTTACTCCACTCCACTAGAGGGTCATGTATAAAAGTCTTTAAGACACTACAGTGGAAACAAATGTGATGAACGTAAGACAATGTTATTTTTGCAAAAAAAAAAAAATCCTGCTAAAAATAACAAGTGTGCATGAAAGAAAGATAATGGTAATGCTCTCAATCTCTTTTGGGGACTTTTTTTTTTGTGAAAGAAGGGTAGGGATCAGGGAAAGGTAGAGAAGAAAGAGGCAAGATAGAACAAGATAGAAGAGAGTGAGTGAGAAAAAGTGCTGCAAGCCATCTCTCCATAAAGAAAAGCGAGCAAGAGACCATCGCACTCACAGGCACTGCTAAGGTACGTAGGAATCACAGACCATTACCTCATTAAAGGCTCCCTCTGATCGCGTATCAGCCGCAGTGTAACTTCACAGGCTCTTCGAAAAAGACCCTCTGTGCCCATAGGACCCATTGCATAAACCATATTATGAGTGAGGCGAAATGGTACAGTCTCTGGAAATTCAAAGGTTTCTCCCTTAAAAAACAAAACAATCAATTTTATAGCAAAGTAATGGTATCAAAAATTTTAAAGTTTACACTTCAGCAAAGAACAAAAATATCCTCTATGTTTGTAATCACATTAGAGGTTTATCAAAGAAGAGTCACGTGGCTGCTTTTGCTTTTGTGGATCTGATCCCACAACCTGATCTTGAGTAAGATCTAGAAGATGAGTGATTTCACCATTCACTGATTTAATGTATTCAATTTTATGCATTCAATATTAAGTCCAGAAGTTAGATGCTCACCGGAAATGAAACATGTCATACATGTCCAGCTGTCATTCTGTAACGTGTCTTTCCTAGGATTCTTTTATCCTTGCAATCTGTTATCCTACATTTCCCTTTTGTTTGACTTGATCTATGCCAGTTGTTTATCTAACTTGTCCACATTGAGTCTGACTTTTCAGATTCCTGTGCCAGCACAAGGCAACCCATCGAAGACAGGCATGGAGAAAATGGTGGACTGAACCCCTTTGCTTTCCAGGACTGTTATGCTAGAGAGCCAGAGAGGACCTTAGAGTTGAGTCTGATTCCTTCATTTATTTCTAAGATTCCACATTGGACCTACAGAATCCAAATCTCTTGGGATCTCTAGGTATCCAGTTTTATAATTATTACTATTCTTAGTGGGATTGAATCAAAGGCTTCATGCATGCTGGGCAAGTAATCTACCACTGAGCTACATCCCCACCCCTGAATACTGTCAGATTTGGAAACCACCATATTAAATCACTCTATCTGTCTAAAACTAAGTCTCAATAAAATGAACTGATTCTCCCAGGTTCACATAACTACTGAGTTACCGACCTAGATGCATTTGAACTTCAAGTTCAGTGCTACTGAATTTCCTCTATCACTCCACTAAAATTTCTCCATCTTAAATTGCTTTACTATGGGATCTACAGAGGAAAACCAGGCAGGAAATTCCCATTGTGATTCAGTTCTAAGAGTTGCCAGTAGATATCTCAAGGAGGAACAGTTGTTGAAGGAAGGAAGCTAGGACATACCTTATTAAAAAGACAGTTGAAATCCACATGTACACATTCGCCAGTCAAAGAATCAAAAAGAATGTTTTCACCATGCCTGTCTCCAAGCCCCAGGAGATAACCAACAATAGACATCACAGCGGTTGAACGGCAGTATGCGGATCTGCTACTATACCTAAACAAATGATTGCATCTATCAGATGAGACAATAAAAAACGTCAGATCTGCAGATAAACATTCCATCCTAATGAGGTATACAGTCTTCATAATTTACCATGATGTAGGATCTGGAAATGTTCTCAGAAACCACTCATGAAAAATAGGAAAGTGCTTGGGCAGGAGAAATTCTTGGTATATTTTCAGTTTCTCACACAATGATGCTGACTTGGGTAGCATACACTGGCGAAGTTCCTTTCCTGTCATATACACACCTGCAAAGCAGAGTGATTTCCATTCATCACACCCACGTGAAAAAAAGACAAACAATATTCCTATTAAAATATATCAAGAAATGTCTGCTTTCACTCAAATTGTTAAGAACAAAATTATGTGTACCCCACTATTAAAAAGAGCTGGCCATACGTGTTTCCTTGTACAATTACTTGTTTATATCACTCCTGTTAGTGTATATCTCTTTATTTTGTCATTGATTATAATCAGTGACTGTTAATATTAAGCCTGATTTTTTTTTTTTTTTTTGGTTGGTTGTGGGGCTTGAACTCTGGGCTTGGGCGCTGTCTCTGTGCTCTTCAGCTCAAGGCGAGCGCTCTAACGCTTGAGCCACAGCGCCACTTCCAGTTTTCTAGTGGTTTATTGGAGATAAGAGTCTCACAGACTTTCCTGCCCGGGCTGGCTTTGAACCTCGATCCTCAGATCTCAGCCTCCTGAGTAGCTAGGATTACAGGTGTGAGTCACCTGCGCCCAGCACAAGCCTGATATTCTAACCTAACCATTTCTGTTTCTTCTGAGAGTCGCTCTCATTATTCATAATGTATTTACTTCTTCTCCCCGCCCCCCTCCACCCTGAATTGGGAGTCTTTATTACAAAGCCAGTGCTGCAAGTGGACTCAGGTCCCAATAGAACTCGCAGCCTACTTAGTTATTTTCAAAAGGCTGATAAAAAAGGAAGACGTTTGTTTCACAATAGCCCTGCAATATCTTGGAAGAACAAGTTCTAAAGTTCCTTAACATTTTTACAATGAGACCAAGTTTCAAAACCCAAGGGAGACAGGAAAGGAAGATGGGAATCTTACAGAGTCTTCACTTAATGTAGATTTTACCTTGGCTTGTATTAAACATATATACTGACATCCATATTTGATATGTTCTTAGCACTGTATGATACATTTATTAGAACTAACTGAATACCCTTTTCCTTATAGAGTTTGGTCAGAATAGGCCTCAAGCCAGCAGTGTTGTTCACCCATTCAATAATGCCGCTCTCGTCATTCAGTGGAATAACCGCATAGGTTCGGATATGAAGTTCTCTTCGGCGAGACTCTGCATCTTTTCTTAAGCTCTGTTTAAGAAATACACAAAAATTCAAAAAGAGAATGAACAATTCTAAATCCGATATCAAGTGTATCTAAATATTGTTCATTTCATAGGAAAAGAATGTCAATGAAGGCTCACAATGTACTTTGGGTGACTCCTCTGAAAGGTAAAAACTACTACATAGTGTCCTTCATCTGTTTCTAAGCTTTAAGAATGCCCAAAAAAGGGGCTGGGAAGATGGCTCAGTGGCAGAGCACTTGCCTTGCATGCATGAGGCCCTGGGTTCGATTCCTCAG